GATGGAGCACAGGCAGAAATTGTTTGAAGATAATGTACAGAAGAGAAGGAAGAAATGATTCCTGAGAGGTGCAACAAGACAAACTGCACAGCTGCTCCAGCTTGAGCTGTTGAACCTTGAGGGTTTTGAGGCCGTGGCTGGGGACCCAGTTCTGCTAACTTGAGAAAGCAGTGGAGACTAAAAGAATCAAAAGATCTGAGGATACTGTTATCCAACTTAACATAATTGATTTCTAAAGAATATACTTTCTGTCAGCAATGAATGGTAGTTAATACTTATAGGCCCAGTTACTCAGAAAGCTGAGGTGGGAGGTTCACTTAGAGTTTTGAGACCGGTATATACAATACAGATTCTACAGATATTCTCTCTCTCTCTCTCTCTCTCTCTCTCTCTCTCTCTCTCTCTCTCTCTCACACACACACACATATAGAGTGTACACTGACCACTAACCAAAATAGAAACTATTAGCACCATAGAGTCTCAACAAATTAAAAAGTTCAAGGCATACAAAATGTTTTCTGATCACAATGGAATTAAAGTAAATACCAACATCAGGAAGATCTCTGCAAAAGTTCAAACAGAGGAAACCAAACAGATTTCTAAATAACTCACATGTTAAAGAAGACATCAAAACAGAAATTAAAAATTATTTTCCTTGAATGAAAGTGAAAAATTGTGGTATATGACACACTCAGAGAGGAAGGAAAAGCCCTAAACATCGATGTTATGATTTTAAAAAGGCATTTGGATGAACATGCAAGTGTCCTGCATGGGAGGACATTGCTATTCTCAGAGACGAGATATAAAACATGAATCTTGGTGCTAGGCCTGGGGCATCTCCTGTAGTGACTGCTCAGGCCCCAGAGGCTGGTGCTGCTGCCCATTCACCATGGTTAGAGGATACATGCCCAGTGCTGAGGACTCTGTACAATTTGGTTGTAGGACATAGGAATCAATCTTGAACTGGAAGGAGGGCAGGCAATGTTGAGGACACAGGACACCATGGATGAGGACAGGGACAGGATCTGACAGGAGGGGACTTCCTCTGCACTGACTGGCTGGCTTCCATTATGCCAGAAGGTGTCGCTGTAAAATGAGTACTGTAGAATTTTATGTAAGCATACATAGCACATCTCTTTCTTTCTGACTTCTTTAAGCACAGCTATCTTGAGGCTCATCTATTTGCGCAACGTGTAGCAGTTCATTCTTTTTCTACTTCTGAGCTGTATTTTATCCCAGGACTCAGTCTACAGCAACGCCAAGAAGATAAGTGGTTGTGTGTGGCTGTGCAGGGAACAAGAGGCAGAGGAAGACAGGAAAGACTCTGAAGGGCAGGGACTGGAGTTTAAGGTTATAGAAATGTTCTTGATTGTGCCGGAGATTTCATGGGCATATGCACATGTCAAAATTTGTCAAATGATGTGTGTCAAATATATGCAATTATGTGTAGGTCAATAATATCTCAATAAAGCTATTTTTAAAAACAAACAAACAAACAAACAAACAAACAAACAAACAAAACAAACTCATCCTTAATGACTTGGTTTCAGGAATCTAAAGCAAAATACATGCTGGGAGAGCCAAGCTAACAGAACCTCAAGAGAACAACTGAAGTCTACCTTGTCTTTGGGGAAGAAGCTAGTCTTGTTCACAAGCTACAAAGTTTACAACAAGGCTCTTCTTATGCACTGAGGCAAAATAGGTCGTGTTGCTCAAGCTAGGTTTCCCTCTCCTCTTCTCCTCTTATCTAGGTGAGAGGGCTAAGGTAAACATGTGAGAAAAATTAACATTAGAAGATTATCCAATAGGTTGTCAGAAATCTACAATAGAACACTAGAAAAAAAACCCACAGCTAGTATAAGTTTCTTTACTCTTTCTTCTTGCTCGCCCACCTTTCTTTCCCATTCCTTCCGTGTCAATGCCTTCTTGCTACTTTCTATCCTTTGTTTACTTTACTTCTGCCCATCCCCCTCCCCCATTTACATGACAGGAGAATGCAGTGGCTCAGACCACAACATGGATCCTGGAGCATTCCCTGCTTCTAGTCTCATGTTCAGGGCATGACAGTTTATATCTTGTGGTCTGGTATCCACGATGTAGACAGGATAAAATCAAATTCCCTTTCTGCATAGGGTTGGTTTGTAACAGTGGTTCTCAATCTGTGGGCCTCGATCCCCTCGAGGATTCCCATATCAAGTATCTTGTATCTCAGATATTTACACTGCGATTCATATCAATAGCAAAACTACAGCTATGAAGTAGCAACATAATAATTTTATGGTTGGGGGGTCACCACAATATGAGGAGTGGGGTCACAGTACTAGGAAGGTTGAGAGCCACTGGTGTATAAAATTAAGTTGATATAGGAAAAACAACTCGGGAGTAATTATTAATCACTGTGCAAGTTACTGTTCTCAGAGCGCCGATTCTGTTAGGCTGGACTCCAATAATGACATGTAAATACCCCTAGGCTCAAAGCAGATTTGAGAACACGTGAGATTCCAACTAGACCCAGGCCTGGCATGGTCAGTGCAATTCTCTGGCCCTGACTATGTTCCTCTTATATCAGAGCTTAAACTATTTATTTAAAATGGAAAGTCTGGTGTAGAAGATGCATTGATGGTCCCATTCATCTTTAACTAATGCATTTCCCAATTCAAAAGTATAAACACATTACAAAACAAAAACTTGTGCTATAAGGTTGGGGCTCAACTGACATGACTCCATTTTTATTACAAGAAGGTCATTGTCCTGCAAGAGGAGTGCTAACAACACAAACTAAGAGCCATCAAAGCACTAAGATGTCAGACAACACTGTGTTTACTTCTCTCATGTGTTATGAGAAATTGCAACATACAGTCTTGATCATATCTTCGGGAGATACTCAAAGTTCTGGATTAGAACTTCCTTTGCCCAGCATTGTACATGAAGTCTCCTGAGAAGTCCGACTCTGTGTACTTCATCTTTAAGTGGAAGGGGTCCCATTAGTCTGGCCTCAATACTTGCATGCCGATCATGTTCTGGTTTTTCCAAGGTCAGGTATCCTGAGTGGTGAGTGACTCAACCACTGGAAATTAGCATTCATGCCGAAGAACTTGTGCAGAATTCCTGGAGGGGATGTAATAGTCGATATGTAAACAGTAGGCTGTACAAGAAAAATAGTTGTTACAAGGCAAAAAAAAAATTAATGCAGACACTTGGGTTGGTCCTGTCACATATGCCTTCTTGCTCACGTGGTTCGGTGAGTACAGCAGCCGCACTAGATGTGAGTGCTCCAGAGTGTCACGGACAGCCTGGGCTTATTGTTAATTTTAGAAGGTGTGACTATGGTGGGGTGGGGTGGGAGACTTGTCTCCATTAACACTCTGTGAGAGAAACTACCATATGGGCCAGAAATCACCAATACTCAAAGATAGAAAGAGGAGTGTAACACTGCTATTGGACCAAGGACTTATCCAAAAACTATCACATGAGTTATCTAACCAGTAGCTCCCAACCTGTCTACTGGAGATGTCATGATGGCAGGGACCAAATAGAAAGTTTGTTAAAATTAGTGACCATTTAGTCTTATGGCCTGAGTCTCTTCTATCTGTAAGGACACTGTTTCTCTTTCTCATATTCCTTAAAGGAAGCTGCTACCCTTTAGTTTTCTGTTGGAAGGAGCTGTGGAGCTGTTTCCATGAAACCTATGATATGCTAGCGATGTGCCATTTATTGTCAGCTGGAACAGCCTGCCTCAACTTGCATACTATTAGTTGTATTATTTATTATTCTTTAGCTTTTTAGAGATTGACAATCACTGTCAATAGCACTGTAGACCCTGCAAAGGCCAGGAGGTGACCTGCTTGCTCTCTCCCCATCTAGCCTCTATACCAGCTGTAGAGAGAAATGACTGATTTGGTATCTCAACTGGTCTCTAGATGAGAGAGAAGAAACAATTCCATTTAAGTAACTGGCATCTCTAAGGATTAGGAGAAGGCTTAGGAGTTTTGAGTGAATTTTTTGAATGCCTATTTTCAATAATGGTTCTTAAATGCTTTAACCTCCTCTTTAGCCCACCACCCAGGAGAGGTAGTGGAAAAGAAAGGATATGGGGGAAGTGGATCTGTTTAGAAAGGTTCTTTGGAGCAGCTCCCGTCTGTGTTGTCTGGAAGTCGGCAGTTCAGTTCACAGGTTGGCAGGCAGGGGAGGCTCGATCCACTTGTAAACACTTCATGGATACACCAGCAGTCCACTTCCACAGAGTCAGGTTAGCAACAGTGGTGACACAACCTAGCAGAGACAGCCAGGCCTCAGCCACGGCTGCAGTCAGCAGGAGGGACCCACTAGGAACACCAGGAGAAGTTCTCAGCTGTGTTTTTCAGGGAAGCAAAAATCAGTGAAGACTCGAGACTCACACGCGTTGCACAGCGAGCTGTACCAGCAAGCCAAGTTCTGTCTCTGTCACTCCGTCAAGTCCTATTCATACCCTCCAAAGATTATGCGCATATGCCTTGCCTCAGCATGTGCATCTAATCAGCTGGAATCCATGGAGTCCCGACAAATGGAGCTCAACTATGCAATGTAAGGCAGAACAATACATGCATGTTGTTAGCAAAGAATCCTTCATCACCTGTCCTTTCACATGCTTGCTTTAGCAGAACATCCTCTCTCCTGTGACTGCTTCAGTGAAACATTCCTTCAAGAGTCTGCCTTATACCTGTGTCCACTTCAGGAAAACACTCCTTTACATGTTTGCCCCAGCAAAACACCATCTAACACAACTGATTCTCCATAGAACTCTTAAGTTTCTACCTCTTGTGTGTGTGTGTGTGTGTGTGTGTGTGTTGGGGAGAGCAAACAAAGGATTCAAGTTTTACTTTGATTTCTAGGATGGTTGAAGGATACCAGAGGATCTTTATCAATCACTGATGACTAAGCTTCATTTTAAAAATTGTGTTGGTTTATTACTGAAAATTGGGAAATACAGCAAATAAAAGACTGACTCACACAAATAAAACTCTCATTATTTTAGTTTATTTTCTACTAATACTTTTCTGGCATATTTTCACACAGTTGACTTTACATCTATACACCATTTGTCTTATTCACAAATGATTATTTCCCTATAATACACACACACACACACACACACACACAGACACACACACACATGTAAGAGTCTTGCTTTTTAGTTCATGTAGGACTAACAATCTTCATGCTTTCCCCATATGATAGCATATTTTAGCGTAGCATATCATACCGTAACTGTACTGTCATACATGTGTATACATTGTTTTTGAGACAGGCTCTTGTTTTATAACCCAGGCTGGCTTAAGACCCATGCTCAGACCACCTCCTGTTTCCAAGTGGTGGGATTTATGAATGTGCCACCATGTTGAGCATATAATTATTTTTAATATTAAAATATTTCTACTGTAGTGGAACTCTAGCATGATTGGCTGTTTTCTCGTTGGGTATAATGTCGAGATTCATATCAATTCCCTGTGCTTTTTCTTTACGACTATTTCTATGAGACATTTCAGGATTAGACTTAATCTTGTTTTTAGGCTTTAGACATATTTTAACCAGAGGATTGTAGCAAAAACATCCTCACACTATCAACATATAAACACATTTTATCTTATGGTAATACTTCCTAAGAAAAGAAAAAAAACCTTCCAAGTTCGATAGTGAAATAGTATGTTTATTGCAGTTCTATTCCCATTTCTCTGATTACTTTGTGTTTTCTTCTCTTCTTCTTCTTTTTCTAGCAACTCTGCCCATTGCTTACATTTCCATCATGAATTAACTATCTCATAAAGTCTATTGAAACAATAACATTCTCTAGGGTGCATTTTATTAGACTGAGTTAGTATTGGTTACACAAACATTCTAAAGGCTGTAGTTTATTGACATGAATAAAACGAAGTATACATGTCCAGAGATCATTATATACTAACATTAGAGTAAGTACTGTCTCCAAAGAACATGATTTGTCTCATAGTGCACTGGCTTTAGAAGGCAAGGTTAGACCTTCAAATCAAATGAGAATACATAATCTTTACATCAAGGAGAAACACATTATAAAAGTACAATCTGTTTAATCTAGAAGACTGCATTGGATTTGCTGAAGAATAAGTTCTTTTATTTACCTCTTCAAAGAACCGATTATTTTCTTCACCTCTTTATGAGCATCCTTGTCCTATAAAGAAAATGCAGATGTACAGTGAGATGTCTCACATTGATACTGGCAGTCTAAGTACTTTGAAATGAACTGTTCTTGGATGTAGGTATTTTCCTTGAAAGGCTATCACAGACAGACTGTGTATTTCTTAGGAGCACACAGGATGCAGATGTATGAGAGCGTAGCTGATGTAAGGCGCTGTTGCTCCATGAAATCTGGAGTGGGATTCGGTAGGGGACAGTCTTCCACACAGGCTGACACATTGGTTCTACCAGTGTCTTAGCAGCAGTGCTGTCTCCCTTTCTAAGAGATGTGATGAAGCCATAGACTAAGCTGCAGGATTTGAAGTTACCTGAGATTACCCATGAAAAGGCATACATACGTGTGTGTGTGTGTGTGTGTGTGTGTGTGTGTGTGTGACATTACATTTCCTAAATGTTATATATTTCATTATTGACTTTATCAAGTAGTTTATACTGAGATTACTCTCCTATGAGTGATAAATGTCATCTGAAAATATATCAATTTAAAAGAATTTAGTGCCTCTTTCACTGCACATCAAAGTTTTATATTTTCTCTCCCATCTGAGCCTTCTTCGTACACACCAGGCTGCTGAACTCAAACGCTGCCTTTAGGCAGACAGTGGTGAGGCTCTTGATGAGGTAATTATTTCATGCAGCAATCACAGCATACTGCCATAGACATAGGAATTCCTCTTATTTTCTGTTTTACAGACTGTTTCTTAGGATCTGATTAGCTTCTTAAAGTGAAGAGATGCTCACATAAATAATGGCAATACCATAGTTTCAAATTCTTGGAATGCAAGCCTGTGACACACATTAGTTTGGGCTTTAGGGACCAAATGGCTGACAGTCTCAGTAGCAACTGGATGTGTGATCAGTTTAGAATATTCTGGCGAGAGACAATAGACACAGCTACAAAATAACTGTAATGCAAAGAAGTTACAAGTGCCACAACCTGACGGATGCTATGAAGGTTCATGGGCAGGGAAGAACCGGAGAGGAGGCATCTTCTCTGGAACTCTTGCTGATGTTAGTTTAGCAGTGAATAAGCTAGTTACAAAATCACTAACTGGATCTACTTCAGACTGAAAAACCTTTTAGAGACAGGTGGTTATAGGTATAAGTCACCTTATCCTATATTCTTGACAAAGAGGAAACTGATCTCCTAAAACCCACCACCCCCAATTTAGAAAATAATTTAATAATACAAATGAATACTAGAAAAATAAAAACCATGGTGACTGTTTGTTCATGCTCTTTTAACATTTTCATAATGTCCAGATTTTGAAGCTACATTCACCCCAGGGCTGCTCACTGTCCCCGCTGACACTATCCATCTCTGTGTGCATGAGAGTTCTGGTTCCTCGCACCAAGGCTTCCTGAGTGCTCATATGTTCAACAGTATACTTGTACTAGGAATACAGTGGTAAATAAAATAGACATTTATATGGAATAATCATACAAATAGCTACACAGTCACAGTTGTCCTATGGTCTGAAGGAAAAATAAGAGAAGCTTTCTTGCCAAGGGATAGTAGCTGGTCTGTTGGAAGACAAGGGGATTTTTTGGGTTCCTGATAGAAGGTTCTCATGATCTGTAGACAAGAAAGAAGCTGCTAGTACTCCACTCTGGTGGTGGCAGTGGAGACGGTACCAGCTCCACTCTGTGGCAGCAGTGAGGACAGTGCCAGCTCCATTCTGTGGTGGCAGTGGAGACAGTGCCAGTGAGTGGTTCTAGACATGCTTTAAGAGAATTCAGAGAATTTGGTCACTAGATGTATGTCTGTCTAGGTTTTGGGATACCGAGGCAAATGAGGCATTAAAGATAGTTCAAGGTTCCCAGCCTGGGCTGTGTATGTTGTTTATACAGAGGATAAGCATGAACAGAGCCAAAGGTCTGATGATGAACTGAATCTGACATGTCTGAGAGACATCTAAGCAGAGATGTCTGTCAAGTAGGACGTTAGTCTAGAACTCAGGAAAGAGGTCTAGAGGGTCAACATTGAGGAGCCCTGGTACACAGATAATATTGAAGCCAGAGGGAAGATACAGGATTGGGGTGAGAAGAAGACTGGAGAAGAGACAAGGGACCTACGGACCAGTGACTAACTCTGAGCGTCACCAGCCTCTGACCTACTGTGAAATCTCTAAAGCTTATGCATAAACACTTGCATGTCAAACGAGGCCTCTCACCTGAGCTTTAACTCTATTCTTACATTCTAATAAGAATATAACAGATTCTAAGAAGAATCTAACAGATGTTGGTTTTAAATGACTATGTAGAATGTAAATTATGCTAAAAGGCAAAAAGGTCCCCATCATGAACAGAAAGCAAGACTCAGAGGGACACAATCTGTTGTCAAGTGTGGGCTTCGTAATGTAGAGAATGATTTCTAGGCCTGAGCTGAGCTGCATCTTCTGTTTTCTAAAAGGAATCTCTCCATAGGCCTTGTCTATAGGCCGTGTCCATGGCTTGCTGTATACAGAGACTGGGGTGGTGATCTTCCTGTGTCTGCCTCCTGGGTGCTTGCTGTATACAGAGACTGGGGTGGTGATCTTCCTGTGTCTGCCTCCTGGGTGCTGGCATTATGCCTCACTAACTGGACCTCTTCTGTCTCTTTTACTAACTGATGGAATCTACTAGCAATGTGTTAGAAGGACAACAGACCCAGTGAGAATCCCAAACCTACAGAAGATGTAGTGGAACCAAGCTCTGCCCCAGTGGCCATGGGGTGGGTCGGGTTGGCTCTAAGCCCACAGTTCCTTGGCAGATCTTACTTAGTTCCCCTTTCAGTCTTATTTCTGTGACTGCATCATGCATTCCTTCCTTACCAGCTAACATCTTCGCTTTCTCATTCTGTACTTGTAACTTGTATCCATGCCCTGATACCTCCTCTGCCCACACGTACACATTATACAGATGTTTCAGATTTATCTCTTGTTTGTCCTGGTCTCTGGTAGCAGACAATGATTTCCCCCTCTGGATCTCTGCAGTACGTTCTTTGTGCCTCTGAGCACTCTTCCTCTGAATCTTGAGACACCAGTATCTAGATATGCACTGTATGTTCTCACAAGGACAAACCAAGGCATGGAAGAGGCGGGTTCTACTCTTTATATCGCACAGCACAGCACAGCACAGCACAGCACAGCACAGCACAGCACAGCACAGCACAG